CCGCAGCCCCGACGCCCGCGCCTCCTCGCGCTGCTGGCGCTGCTGGCGCTGGCGCCGCCGCCGGCGGCCGGGCCCGACTGCCCGTGCCGGGAGCCCGCGCTCTGCCGCCCGATCCGCCGCCGCCCCGACTTCGAGGTCAGCGCCTGTCCCCTGCCCCTCCGGGTCTGGGCCCCGAGGCCCGGAGAGAAGCGAGAGCAGGACGGAGTCCTACGGAGAGGGGGTGTGAGTGCCGGCACCCACGGGACCCCTCGTGGAGGGCCTTCCTGGGTCCGGATTCCCGTCCCTTGGCAGATGAGAAACGCGGGCGCAGAGAGGTTGAGTCACCCCTCCCAGTGTCCCAGACCCGGCAAGTCCCCAAACCCAGGCCCGACGCCTAAGGCGGGCTCCACTCATGCCCCTGCGCTGCCTCTCCCCGGGCACTCGTGCCAAAACCAGGGAGCCGGGACAGCGCGTTGCTCCAAGGGAATGAGGACTTGGTTGGCAAGCGTCTCAGGGCTCCAGCAGCTCCTTGGAAGCGGAGTGTCTGCTTTGCTTTCCTCCCCTGTCCCAGTGCGATCCCTTAAGGCGTTTCAAAACCACCCGAGGAGGGTGCTAAAAACAGGACTTTCGGTAAATTGTCCTTTTATCCGCCTTACCCTGTGTCAGGGCTTCTGACAACCTGAATCAAACATCCTTCCCGGGAGCAGCGTTGAAACCACCTGACTGCCTGGAGTTGATGACCTTAGCAGGAATGGGGCGCCCTTGGGAAGGTCCAAAGGTTTCCTCCCAAGAGCGGTCCTTCCGTGGCGATGGAAATGCGTTCTAGGCCTTAATCTAGTCCATTAACTTTGAGGTGGGGGCATTTACATGCTAGTCCAAAAGTACGGATACATAACTTAGCGGAAGGGAAAAAAAAGTGGTGAAAGTGTCCATGGAGAGGTACCTGCCTAGTGTGGGAACCTGACCAAGCTCTTGTTAAAAAAAATAATAATAAGACAAATTAAAATAACCTTGTTTATTTGAGCAAAGAACGGTTTATGAATTGTCAGCATTCAAAGCAGAAGAGTGTCAGACGTGTGTGCTTTTAGCAGCATGCACAGTGGGCTTTTACAGGCTGAAGGCAAAAGCAAAGTGAAATAATTACTTGATCTAGCTGTGGTGAGGTCTTATTTAGATACGACCTGGCGGAGTTTCTAGTTAGAGGTGAGATGGTAGTTTCTGATAGACTGAATTTATGTTTCGTGTGACTGTTTACGTTGGCCTGTACTTTGCTTAAGTAGCCATTCAAGGCCCTAGAGTTTTAGTTTAATGGCTCCTCTAATAAAAAGTTTTTAACAATTCAGTTTATTGTAGCACCCCATACTTAATGGAAGAGGCAGAAATTGTGGCATTTTGAAAATCAGTCATACAAAGAAGCGAAATTATGCTTTGTATGCTCCTGGTAAGTGGTCTTTTTCTGTACTGGCCTTTTCTATGTTTTTCAAACACAAAGACGACTATGTCATTTTCTTCCTTTATATATTCAATTGGTTCATCCAGCTTTTTAAAAATTTTCTATTATGTCACAGGCTCTCAGTATTTTTTTAACAAATTAAATCTTAATTACCAGAATTAAAATAGCAGAAAAATAAGTTATGTATGCATGGTAAATCCTGAAAATTTAAAAAATAGAGAAAATTAAGTGTGTTTAATTTGTATAGTAGTACCCTGACTCCCTCTCCCATTTATTCGCCTCACCGTGGCCCAGTGATCTCTCTCTCTCTCTCTCTCTCTTTTTTTTTTGAGTTGGAGTCTCACTCTGTCGCTCAGGCTGGAGTGCAGTGGCACACTCATAGCCACTGCAGCCTCTAACTGCTGGGCTCAGGCGATCCTTCTGCCTCAGTCTTCCAAGTAGCTGGAAATACAGGCATGCGCTACCATCCCGGCTAATTTTTTGATTGATTGTAGAGATGAGGTCTTGAACCCCTGGGGCTCAGGCAGTCCTCTCACCATGGCCTTCCAAAGTGCTGGAATTATGGGTGTGAGCCACCATGCTGGGGTGATCTCTCTTTATTAATGCAAATCCTATCCCCCACCCTGCTGAAAACTCTAAGGTCTTCCCATTGATCCCAAGATATGAGGGGCAACCCCATAAAAATCAGAATTATTTTTTGGAGAACAGGTCCCTTGCAGTACATGCATCCACCCGTAGGTAAGTGTTCTAGAAACCCATCAGCTTCAGTGTACCAGCTAGCATTGTCGTGAGAGGCTGCGTTCGGCTTCGGTGTTTTGTCTTGTTGGTTTTTTTTGAGATTCAACGTGTTTGTCTATTTGACGATGCGTGATTTACCAGTGCACCTGCCCACACTGTGTTGCGTGTTCAGCAGTTTTTGACCAAAAATGACATGACCCCCGGCCCCACCCACCCAATCCACTTGATCTTGCCTAAGTGACTTCTTCTGTCTGTTTCCCCTGATGAAAAAAATCCCCAAAGGGAAATGTTTTGCTGATGCAGAAGAGGTGAAACAAAGAATGGCAGGAGCACTAAAAGGCATCAAAACAGACGAGTTCAAAAACTGTTTTCAGCAGTGCAAAAAGTGTCTCGATAGGCGTATTGCATCAAATGGAGAGTACTTTGAAGGTGACTGAAGTTTAAACACGGAAAAATAGATACACAATATTCTATAAATAAATTCTGGGGATTTGGGGGTCCTCCCTTGTAAAAGAGAAACTCCTCAGTTGTTCTCCGGTCCTACTTGATTGTGCCACTTCCTGCCTTCCTAGTTTTATCCAATCCCACATTCCTTTAGGAATTCTTTGTTGCAGCCACACTGACCTCTCAGTTTCGGAAGCTCAGGATTCTCCTGAGGCATGAGGACCTTTTGGCTTTTTCTTCCCTCTGTGGAGAACACTCTTTTACCCTAAGGTACCCCTCCTCTGTCACTCCACAGATCTCAGCCCTCTCCTGAAGTGTGTAGTCCTCAGAGAAGTCTTCCAGCCCCACCTGGTTTGCAGGCCCGCTTCGTATGCTGGCACAGACCCCTATTCCCTTACAGGTTAGGGTTAGGGTTAGTACTTAATACTCTTGTGATTAAATGATGAACTCCCTGATGGACCTGGTCTCTTTTCTTAACCTCAGTATCCCTAGTGCCCCTTGTTTATCTTACTGGAATTCAGTAACTGCCAAATCAGTGAATTAATACCTTGGAATAAAATAAAAATGATCGACGAAACTTCTGTGCTTCTAGAATTATCTGTGGGGGGAAAAAATACCAGAGAAGCATAGCATCAGCAGCCTAAGGGTCTGACCTGGGTAAGAAGTTAACTTCACCAAAAAACACATGGTCAAAGCAGCATCTCGCTGTGTCTGCAGCCACAGGAAGTTGGGTCTTATCAAACACACGGCTTTCTGCCTTATTCGTGCAGTTAGTCACCAGGTGCTGCTGGTTTTACTTCCTTGGAATCTCCCACGTCTGCTCAAGTATCTCCACTGTCACACAGTTTCATCGAGGTCCTCATCATCCCTTGCCTGCATTCCCTCTTCTGCCTCCAGTTTCGGCCTCTCTCTGATCCATCTTCCACTGTAGTGGAAAGGATTTTCCTAAAATGCATACCTCCTCCTTTTAAAAATGCTTTCATCCTCTCCCTTTCCCTTAGAATAAATATCATAGTACTAACTTCTCAACGGGAAATACAAGGTCCTTCATGATCTAACCCCGGCCTGCCACTCTCTGGTTCTTCACTGCACTGTCTTGATGCAGATTCAAGGCGTCACCACACCGAACATTTAGTTACGGAGCCACCATGCTCTCTCTGTCTGCACTTTCCCCTGTTTCTTCCTGGTCCACTCCTCCACACATTCCATGCCTGGCTAATTACCGCTGCCACCAATTGTATTGGGACCCCAAGTCTTTCTTTTCTTTCTTTTTTTCTTTTCTCCAGTCGGAGTCTCACTGTCGCCCAGGCTAGAGTGTAGTGGCACACTCATGGCCACCACAGCATCAACCTGCTGGGCTCTGCCAATCCTTCTGCCTCAAGTAGCTGGAACTATAGAAGCACACCACCACGTCCAGCTAGTTTTTGTGATTTATTGTAGAGATGAGGTCCCACCAAATTACCCGGGCTGGTCTCAAACCCTTGGGCTCAGGCCATCCACTCATCTCAGCCTCCCAAAGTGCTGGGATTACAGGCTGAGCCACCGAGCCCAGCCCCCATGTCTTTCTTACTGTTGTACCCTCAGTGTCCACCATAGTGCTTGGTGTATGATGGTGTTTGCTTAATGTTGTTTTGGACGGTCAGCATGGTTCTCTTGGTTTAAATCATGGTGCTTATCCTTGTTCTGGCAGGTCTTTGTATTTGATGTTGGACAGAAAACTTGGAAATCTTATGATTGGTCACAGATTACAACCGTGGCTGTTTTTGGAAAATATGACTCAGAACTTATGTGCTATGCTCATTCAAAAGGAGCCAGAGTAGTACTTAAAGGTATGTTTTTACCAGATATGTGTGTCTAGCCAATTGGGAACTATATCTGTATCACTTGCTATCATCCTGGCTTTCCAAAACAAAATTTCCTTCTCATGTTTATCTGTTTTTTTAGGATCTTAAAATTAATCTTAGATACCATATATAGTTCAATTTACAAATACAGATATTTTAAAAATAATTAAATAGACCACTGAATGATTTTGAACAAAACGTGACTGCCTAATTAGCATTATAACTTTTACTTGGTCATAGTCCACAATTTCTGCTTCTAATTTGAGAATGATTTTTACTAATCATTCATAATGGTTATTTGGGAGATTAGTGAGTAATGGCTTTCTATTATTTTGATATTTTTTATATAGTCTTCATTTGGAAAACTTAAATTAGGGGGCATAGTCTTCCGAAACAATGAAATGTTTTAGACATTTATTTGATCTCTTTCGTGTAGGTTTGTGAAATAAATGTCATTAATCTGTGAAAAGCATATATGTATAAAAGATGTATGCTTCTTTCATAGGAGATGTGTCCTTAAAGGATATCATTGATCCTACGTTCAGAGCATCCTGGATAGCTCAAAAACTTGATTTGGCCAAGACACAACATATGGATGGAATTAATATAGACATTGAGCAAGAAGTTAATTGTTCATCACCTGAATATGATGCATTAACTGCTTTAGTCAAAGAAACCACAGACTCTTTCCATCGTGAAATTGAGGGATCACAGGTAAAAATTCATTTATTTTTTAGAAACCTCATATTTTCCCTATCAAAATGTGTTCATGAGGGTATGACAAATATAATCTTAGTTTTATGGTAATGAAACAGGAAAGAATTTCAGCATGTATTTTCTTAAACATTTTTCTGAAACTTTTGATGTTCTTAAGGAATTTTAAGGTGCTAAATCTGTTCTCTCTCCACATCAAAATACCATACTGGGATGACCCCACTACTTGCCTTGTGGCAGAATTACAAGTATTGGGCACAGCAGCCGGCGAGAACCAGGAAGGGCCTAACTGGCTTTCATTATGTGGGACAGAAACAGCCCGAGAGTCCAGAGAATTCCAGGAACGTGTCTCCCTTGCTCCCTAGTCTCTTAATTACTCGCAAAGCACCCGAGGCCCCATAAGGCTCAAGAACTAACTCCACAGGCTTTGTGGAGCTGTGGCAAAAGGCACTGTGTGTCCCTACTTCCATAAGGAGCATAAGCAGTGCAGAGAGTCACGGCACAAGGCATGTTGCCAGGCATTGACGGGGAACAAAGGATAGGGCAGCCCCAGACCAGACCTGGCCACGTAGCAAGATAACCGGGGGTCTTACAGTAAACACACATACACACACACACACACACACACACACACACACACACACACACACACACACACATGCGTACTGGAGACTTTCAGAAATTATTGTTCAGAAGGTTTTGGGTGAGTTCAGAGTCCATAATTTTTTTAAAAGTTTTATAGGTAATTATGGTTAAGAACTACTAGGCTAGATTTTTGAAAACAGGGCCACCTTCTTGTCTGGCACAATACAGTGCTTAAAAAGTGTTTATTGAAAAAAGGAATGATTCTTGACTTTAAAAAATGTTTAAACTGGTTAAGTAGGATATATATTGATTCCAGTTTAGGGCATTATAAGTACTACAAACTAGTGTTTTATAAACCTGTCTCAAAGTCACCTAGGAGTGCTTGTTTATAATATCCTGAGATTTATTTAGTAGGTCTGGGATACAACCTAGGGAACTGTATTTTTACCACGTGTTCTAGGTGATTCTGCTACAGTTGGTCATCATGAATTTGAGAATTACTGGTAAGATAATAAGTTCTATAAGGATTGACATGTCTATGGTTTCATGCAAGCAGGGAAGATCTGCCAGAATAGAGTTCAACATTTCAGATGAGTACAATTTAGATCAAGAATAGAAAATACTAGCTGGATGCAGTGGCTCACACCTATAATTCTAGCACTTTAGGGAGGCTGAGGTAGGGGTATTGCTTGAGCCTAGGCACTTTGAGACCAATCTAGGCAACATAGTGAGACTTTGTCTCTTTGTGTGTGTGTGTGTGTATGTTGGAGTCTCACTTCGTCGCCCAGGCTGGAGTGCAGTGGCATGCTCATGGCCACCCCAGCATCGACCTGCTGGGCTCCAGCGATCCTTCCGCCTCAGCCTTCTAAGTAGCCGGAACTACAGATGTGTGCTACCATGGCTGGCTAGTTTTTTGATTTAGTGTAGAGATGAGGTCTCACCATTTTGCCCAGGCTGGTCTCAAACCCATGGGTTCAGGCAATCCTCTCTCCTCAGCCTCCCCAAGTGCTGAGATTACAGGCTTGAGACACCACGCTTGGCTATGAGACCTTGTCTCTACAAAAACAAAAATCAAAATCAAAAAACTAGCTGGGCATGGTAGCATGTACCTGTCGTTCCAGCTACTTGGGAGGCTGAGGAGGGAGGATCACTTGAGCCTGGGAGGCTGAGGATCGTGCCACTATACTCCAGCCTGGGCAACAGAATGAAACCCCAACTCAAAAGTCAAACAGCCAAAAAGGCAAACACCTGGCATACAGGCCACCCATATCCCCCTCTTCCTCCTAAATTTTGACTGCAGAAACTTTTCCTTTATTCACTAGATAGTTGTTACTAATAGGTTAGAATTGACGTCTGGGATATGTGAGAAACAACCTACTTGCCAATTTCACTTAAGTGAAACGGCAGGGCAGGGAGGAAGATGTCGAGTGAAGACCCTGCAGCAGGAATATTGATTTCCACGTTTGACAGGTGATTAGAACAATCTGGGCTACTATGTTAAATTCATGTTAGGTGAATTAGTGGGAGGTACAGTTGCAAAGGTAGGCCAGATTGTGGAAGATCTAGAATGTCAGACTCACGAGTATGCATTTTATTCTGTATGTAATGGGTTACACGTGTAGAATCGTGTTTTGGGAGACTATTCTGTAGTAGTTCATAAAACTAGAGGAGAAGGGAACACCCATAAGGACGAATTCAACAATCTAGAGATTTAGTTTAGACTGGGATGACGGCATAACCCTAAGCCAGCAAGTGTTCCATAAATACTTATTAAATGGATTAATGAATGGAAAGGGAGGAGCAGAACAGCTGTGAGAGACTACCCAAAGGAAAATGTGAGATTCAATTTGGGTAGCAAGGGAAGAAGAAAGAGTCAGAAAATGGCCCAAAGGTTCTTAAACTAGTAACCAGCAAAAAATAACTATAATAGCGAATCTGTAGGGGGAAATACGTTTTGGGGATAAGATGATGACTGTAGTTTGCAGAATTGTGATCATAGAATTAAGAGCTAGAAGTAAATGACCTTGGAGAGTTCTTTCTACACCTTTATTTTTACAAGTGGGAAAACAGATTCCAATGCTGTAAGTGACTAAGCAGTGAAACTGACATAGTTATAACAAAGCCAAGACTAGAACCCAAGTCTAGTCTGTCTAGTCATTGTCTAAAATACTAATACTACCTTCTCAAAAATATGAGATTAAGTATGACAGGAAACCCAGGTGAATACAAAATTAATGCTAAGGAGAGAGGTAAGAACTTACAAAATGGATGTGAAATTTACCTGCTTAGATGTAATCATTTATTTTCTCTATTACTATATCTCCCATTTTGTAATAGGGGGCAGTATAAAGTGAGGTCCAATATGTAACAATTTTACTTCATAACCTATTTTGCTGGAGAGCTATTGGGGAAAGTTTACCCTCATAAAGCAGAGCTTCCTTTAGTGCTAATCCTCAGAGAATTATAGAGAGAACTTTGAGGAAGACCTAGAATGAGCTTTGCTAGAAATAAATTGACCAATGTATAAAAATTTTACCTAAAGTATCTCAATTCTTAAAATAATTTATCAGTAAGTGTTTATTGAGTGTCTAGTTAAGAGGGAAAAAAAACAACCTCAATGATGTTTTAGAGCATTTGTATACATATAAAATAAGGCTAATTGTTATTTGGTTAAGGCAATAAACAAAGAGATTCATTCTTTGATCTGGCTGGCTCACCATTCAACATTAAAGATAATATAATTTTCAACTTTTATTTGAATATTTTCATAAAATAAGATCATTTAAATGGTTTATTCAACATTTTGAGTTTACTAATCCATACCTGTGGGCCATAAAATACCAGCTAAACCTGCCATGTAATGTAATCATGAATCAGGGTCTCAAACTCACAACCCATTCAGGTTGGACCAGCAGGTGTTATATCTAGCCTGTACAATATTTTTAAATTTTGCATTTGAATTCTTTTAGTGCCTTTCCTCTCCAGTTACTCGGGGACACTGGCACACCCTGCTGTCATTACACTTGCTTCTTTCAATCAGTTCAGTTACCACCCTGGCCTCTCAAGACATGAGTTTGAAGCCCGTCTTATATATAGTGTCCTGTGCCTGGATTTATGCCCAAATATATGTTTGAGTCAGTCAAATGTAAGCAAAAAATATATTTCTTAGAACTGTTCCTGTTCTATACATGTCAAATCCTACATTCATATGCTGTAAGCAGTCACTTTTTCTTAGATGGTATAAGTTAAGAAAATAAATGATCAAAACCAATCTGTCATAGTATGCATATATGACTCTGTTATATAAAATACTTTCTTTTTTCCCTCACAGGTAACCTTTGATGTAGCTTGGTCTCCAAAGAACATAGACAGAAGGTGCTATAATTATACTGGAATTGCAGATGCTTGTGACTTTCTCTTTGTGATGTCTTATGATGAACAAAGTCAGATCTGGTCAGAATGTATTGCAGCAGCCAATGCTCCCTATAATGAGACATTAACTGGTAAGAATCCAAAAATGAGAACTTATTAGCAATATTAATTCCAGAAGTTCAACTATTAAGATGTCTTTTAGTGTTTCTAAGTTTCTTGCATACGTTTTTCATTTGTAAAGCTTGCTTGAAACATATAAAAATCACTTCATTTGGTTGGGAAACCTTTAAAATATACAAAAAGTTTTAAAGCTTTCGCTTAATTCTTCTGACAACCTTGTGGGATAGGTATATTATTATTAACTCTCTATTGTAGGTCAGATAAAAGAAGTTAAGATCTCATGGTTGCACAGCTATTAAATATAATATTACATAGTTAGAACTCAATCAGGTATTCTAATTTCAAGTCCAATCCTCTTATCATGAAGTTATATGAAGAAGGTTGTTGCTTATCTAGAATCTGGCAGGGTATTTTGGTTGAAATAACCAATGTGAGATAATTCATTGGCAAAGATAGCTATGGTGTGGGTACCTACATCATATAATTAATAGGATTGCTTTAATTTATTTAATAATCTGTGATATATTAAAAATTGGGCTCCTGTTAGAATTTGAATACCTCTGACCTGTCACTCATATCATGTGGCCTCTACATTATTCTCTTCAAAGTTTGGATTGGTTTATATGCCATCAGCCAACTGAATTAAAGATTACGTGCTATCTTTTGAACGCAACTGAAATTTTCGGTATAGTGTCAACTTAGTTGTTGATTAATTAATATGATTTTTTTTCTTTTTCATGCAGAGGTAAAATCTTAGAACTTGGCTTTATTTTATCATGCCCTAATTGTTTGGATAGAATAGCCTGATCGCAAACATATACTACTTAAATTTGAAAGATAATTTCATTCTGTTAAAATTACAAGGTAATTGTTTAATTCAGGGTTCCCAAACCGTGTTTCATGAAAGAGATGATAATTGTGTTCTATCAATAAAAGGTTCAAGCTGTGCATAATGGCATATGCCTGTAGTCCCAGCTACTCGGGAGACTGAGGTGGGAGCATTGCAAGAGGCCAGGAGTTCAAAGCCAGTCTGAGTAACATTTAGAGACCTTATCTCTAAAAAATAAAAATTAATAAAAATAAAAGGTTAATTATCAAATATGTTTGGGAAATGATGCATACCCCACCCCTCTTTTGGATATTTAACAGTGTATAATAACATTAAATGCTCTGACAAGCAATAGGCTTATTTAACTCAACCTTCTGTATAATCTGGGAGTATCTCAGTGGAAACATGTTTTGCAGCATTGACCAAGATAAAGATTGATAGTACCCAGAATTTGTTCATTTTTCTCTTCGTTTCCTCTAACTACAGATGATCTACTTACAGAATAAGAGGGAGGTACATTTCTTATTTCCAACTATCATTAATACATACAGAATATTTGTAAAACATAGAACATTTGTACTTTCTATAAGAAATTCTGAGACCATCACTGCTAGGAAGTTAAGACTTATATAGAACATTTGTGAAACTTTAGAATCTAGAATATCAAATATATCATGTCTTAGATAGATCATGTCTTAATAGACATAGTTAGTGTGCTCTCCTGAAATGTGTCATTCTTCCTAGATTTTGTGAACTTTTTGTTTCAATATGGTCTTAATTGTTTTGAATGTTTTCTTTTATTCAGAAAGAAATGGTTTAGAAAGCAAGATCTGGAATTTGTAGTTCTTAAGGGATAAGATTTATAATATCATATTAGAGAAAGACTATCAATATTTTGCATAAATGTACCTGTTTTACAAACCCAGATTCTAGCAATTGTGTAGCTTGTATGAACACATTAACAGACACATGAAGAGAAACAATGATGCTTTTTCTATTCCTACTTGACTAGGATATAATGACTACATCAAGATGGGCATTAGCCCTAAGAAACTTGTCATGGGTGTTCCCTGGTATGGTTATGATTATACCTGCCTGAATCTCTCTGAGGTAAGACCGGGTCGTTCATTATATAATTTCTCTTCTCTATTATATTTTTTAGAACCTCTTTTGTTTTCACTAGGAATATATAAACTTTATTTAGAATTTCTGAAATATAGTTTGAGATTTCAAAATTATTTATGTTTATTTAATCCCCAAAAGCTTCTGATTATCGTGCATTTTCACTGAATAATGAAATTTCTTTTAACCCTCATCAGTATATTTAGGTTATCTATTTATAGCACATGTTGTATTTCTAACATGTTGTTTTTATTTTTTGACTGGGCTTTTAAGATTTACTTAATTGGTCATCCATAACATGAACATTTTTGCATTCCTAGGATCATGTTTGTACCATTGCCAAAGTCCCTTTCCGGGGGGCTCCCTGCAGTGACGCTGCTGGACGTCAGGTGCCCTATCAGCTGATCATGAAGCAGATAAATAGTTCTATTTCTGGAAGCCAATGGGATAAACATCAGCAGGCTCCTTATTATAACTATAAAGTAAGACTCTTCATAAGTCAGAGCATTTATTCCATTAGTTTTCATAATTGTTTGTTTTCATAATTAGGCATTTGATATTAAGAATTTCTGTCAGTTTTCTCTTTGGGCTTAACATATAGGCTGCTCTTTATATGAGTAAACTTGAATCTGCGTAATCAGGAACTTTAGTTCCCTGGTGAGCAATTCTAATAGTGAAACTACCCTGCTTGGGCCACTTCTCACTTTAGATGATGCCGTAAAAATGTGCATATCACAAATAGGATTGCCTTCATAGCTGACAATTATGTCATGGTGACTGTTGATTCTGAAAGGCCTATGGGCCCAAATAGGTCACCACCTCTAAAAGCCTCTATTTCAAAGTGGCCTAAAGATTCTGGATGAGACTCTTACCTAGGGAGGAATGGGCTGAGAACAGGAGATGTGTTATCATTCACTACGATGGGAAAGTTGTATTATCTTAAATTTATTTCACAATTAAAACAAATTATAAGCAATGTTAAAAATTAGAGATAAAAAGACTACACAAAAGAGACCTGAAGAAGTATAGTACATGATTAGTAATTCTGTCAGGTAGTGTTTAAATAAATAGGAGTTCCTATACCAAAGTGGCAAAGAAAAGTTATAGTTTTATAATTTACCTTTAGCTTAATAAAAGTTTTTTTATACCTCAAAATCTAAGTACAAGTTAGCTTTGAATTTACTTTGGATTATGTTACTTTTATTTTATTTTATTTTATTTTTTTCAGTCAGAGTCTTACTTTGTTGCCCAGGCTGGAGTGTAGTGGCACAATCATGGCTACCACAGCCTTGACCTGCTAGGCTCAGGCAATCCTTCCACCTCAGTCTTCCAAGTAGATGGGACTACAGGTGTGCGCCACCATGCCTGGCTAATCTTTTAATTTATTGTAAAGACAAGGTCTCACCATGTTGCCCAGGTTGGTCTTGAACTCCTGGACTCAGGCAGTCCTCTTTCCTAGGCCTCCGAAAGTACTGAGATTACAGGTGTGAGCCACCACGCCTGGTCTAAAGTGTATTTCTTAAATAATGAGAATGAAAAGTCAAAATTACACCTTGATCCATGGACTGCAGAATGTGTTAGCATGAAAAAACAACATTTCTCCTCTTTGTGTTCTCCATCAAAGCTCTTGGGTGACTAGGTGCATTGTCAATGAACAGTAATATTTTGAAAGAAATCTTTTTTTTTCTGAGCAGTGGGTTGCAGCAGTGGGCTGAGAATACTCAGCAAACAGCTGTGCTGTCAGCCAAGCTTGGTTGTTCCATGTGTAGAACAGAGTCCATGTAACATAATTCTTCAGGGCCCTAGGCTTTTCTAAATTGCATATGAGCATTGGCTTCAACTTAAGGTCACCAGCTGCATTAGTCTCTAATAAGAGAATCAGCCTATACTTTGGCTTTAAAGCTCAAAACACGGATTTCTCTCTAACTAGGAAAGTTGCAGATAGTGTCTTCTTCCAATAGAAGGCTGTTTTGTGTACACTGAAAATCTGTTTAGGGGAGTCACCCTTGTCAATACTCTCAGCAGATCGTTACTGGCATTAAATCAGAATTGACTTAAAAAGTTTCCTAGTATATAAAAATAAGTGAATGGTTTTTACTCACAAGCCTTTCTTTTTTTTTTTTTGAGTTGGTGTCTCACTCTGTCACCCATGCAATGGCACACTCATGGCCACTGCAGCCTCGACCTGCTGGGCTCAGGTGATCCTTCCATCTCAGCCTTCCAAGTAGCTGGAACCACAGGCATGCACCACCACGCCTGGCTAAGTTTTTGATTTATTGTAGAGATGAGGTCTCGCCAAGTTGCCCAGGCTAGTCTCAAACCCGTGGACTCAGGCAATCCTCTCGCCTCCACCTCCCAAAGTGCTGGGATTACAAGTGTGAACCACCACTTCCTGCCTCTATTTTTACCTCTTCTCTGTTTCCCCTTTGTTTCCCCTTTTGACTCCTGACACAGAGTGTGTCAGTACTAGACAGAGGCAGATGATGCTGGGTGGAAGGGACTGTTCAGGGCAGAAGATAAGCATAAGGCCAGAGTCTACTTTATGGCTCTTAATCAGGTGTGTACTAAGTTACCCAAGAAGTCCAGACCTAACAGGATTTTACAATTAATTCTGTAAGACTTAGAAAAGGAGGTACTTCCTCCTCCATTGCCATTGCCTTTTGATTTGGCTGATTAATCCTAAACAAACCATCTATTGCGCTCCTAGCTAGGCGTGCTTTCAGGAACTATAGGGAATCGAAAAAAGTATATAAACTGGTTTTAGAAGAGCTAGTGTGGTGGCTCACACCTGTAACCCCAGCACTTTGGGAGGCTGAGGAAGGAGGATTGCTTGAGGCTGGGAGTTGGATACCAGCCTAGGCAATATAGTGAGACCTTGTCTCTATAAAAACTCAAAAAATTAACTGGGAGTGGTGGCATGTGTTCCTGAAGTACCAGCTACTTGGGAGGCTGAGGTGGGAGGATTGCCTGAGCCTGGGAGGTCGAGGCTGCTGTGAGCTGTGATCGTGCCACGTACTCCAACCTGAACAACAGAGTAAGACCCGCAACTCCAAAAAAAAAAAGAATTACCTAATGAAAATGCAAAACAAACAAATATATGTCCTACACCCAACACTGGGGAATTATAATTCAATGAGTTTCAAGTGGTGTAGGGTCCAGGAATCTGTATTTTTTAAAGTTGCACAAGTGATTCACATTTACAAATGTACATCTTGGCTGATAGTCATTGGATCGGGGTAAGAAAAAATTCTCAGAACTTTAGAAGGACCTTAAGTAGAATATATTAGTAGACTCCTCTGTGTAGTCTTTGCTATTGTTAAAAGTGTCATAAGCAATAATATCTAGAAAATAGATGCTCCTTAATTTATGATTGGGTCATGTCCTGATAAAACTATAAAAATATTATATGTCAAAAATATATTAGATATCCTTATAAAACCATTGCAAAGTCTAAAAATTTTAAGTTGAACCACTGTAAGTCGAGACTGCCTGTATCAAATACAGGACCATGGAACAATTGAGTGGGGAAATATTATATTTTGCCCTGAAATGTGTATTATTCCATTGTATCCTTTTTGAATCTTTAGATTAGAAAATATAGTTTATTTAAAAGTAATTTAGAGAGAGAGAAAGAGAAGATTCACCTCCCCAAGGTAGAAGAGGAGGCCAAAGCTAGGAATCATTCAACTTAAGAAATTTTTTCCCTCTTACTGTACTGAATACTTTAACTGTTCATTTTAATTCATTTGCACAGGACCCTGCGGGCCATTTTCACCAAGTGTGGTATGATAACCCTCAGAGCATTTCTTTAAAGGCAGCATATATACACATCTACGGCTTGCGGGGCATTGGCATGTGGAATGCCAATTGTCTTGACTACTCTGGAGAGACTGTGGCCAAACAGCAAACTGAAGAAATGTGGAAAGTCTTAAAGCCAGAGCTGCTCAGAGATCAACATCTTTTGTCAAACTATTAAGATGCAGAAAAATGATCTATATACATAGCTCTGGTTTCGGGAAGATATTAAAAAAGGATGCATTTTGGTCATGTTGCCGTATATGTTAGTTATTAGTATACTCAAAAAAGCAGACAAGGAATAAAAAAAGCTTTGAATGTTTGAATTTGAAAAATACATATTTCTACCTTCAGTATCCAGGAACATGAAGGCAAGAAACAAGTCAACTTAGGCTATTAAGTACTTTTCTATGAGATATTTCAACATACTAATTTAATTAGCAGAAAGGCTTTCAGAATTTTATTATGCCAAATTTCCTCCATTACATTAACATATATGCTTACAAATCAGTGCTAATTTTAAATATATGTATAATTTGAAGTGGTAATTGTTCACTTAGAATTTTTTTAAACCTAGCCTTTGAGAAGTAGTTTGTGTTATACTTTCTTTTTCATTTTTTTTACACTTAAAATCTGCAATTTAGTGTCTCCTCCTTTAGTTAATCAAACTGATGAAAATAATCTTTTTGCTTCCTGACTCCATATAGTACTCATGTTCTTGAGGTACCTAGACGAAACCTCTAGGGAGTAAGAATTTTAAAAGAATACAAGAGTTTAAATGTACTTACAAGATACAAGAAGATAACTTAGTAGTATTTTGAATTAACCAGGTGCAGTGGCTCACACTTGTATTCCCAGCACTTTGGGAGGCAAAGGCAAGAGAATTGCCTGAGCCCAGGGGCTCGAGACCAGCCTGGACAACTTGGTGAGACCTTGTCTCTACAATAAAATAAAAAAATTAGCCAGGCGTGGTGGCGCGTGCCTGTATTCCAGCTACTTGGAAGGCTGAGGAGGAAGGATTGCCTGACCCCAGCAGGTCGAGGCTGCGGTGTTCGTGTGTGTGCACTGCACTCCAGCCTAGACGACCGAGTGAGACTCTGACGCAAAAAAAAAAAAAAAAAAAATTGTAATTAGTAAGTTAGAACTACCTAATATTTTCCAACTAAAATATTTTTATGAGGTTCACCTGTAAAATTTTCAATAATAGGAATATCTTGATGTTGAACTTGAATCTATTCATTGTCGTTTACACTTCTAATTATTCATATTCCTTCATTTATGTACATGTATAATTTATTTCTTGGCTAGTTCTCTTTTCATGGTTAAATTTTTCTTTTTCTACAACTGCATTGTATTTTTAATTATCTTAAGACATTGATTAGTTCTCAACTGATTCCTCTTTCTAAAAGATCGATTTTATGCAAAAAAAAACTTTTCTAAATGTAATAAAGTCTCTATTCTCTCTCTCAAGGCAGTTAAAAACAACATGTGCTGTCCTTATTAGTTTCTATACCTACATGGATTAAAAATCTGCATCTTTGAACTCTGGATTTACATAAACCCTGCCTTCCCTGTACATTTCTCACCTCCAAATTGGAATAAATGATGATTCAACCATCTGTTATGAGAATATGATATATCCTATTTACACAATTGTTTATGACAGAGTAAAATTAACTTTCCATTGTGTATGTTGAGTCACTGTTGACTTTATATTTCTGGAATAAATATATAAATTTAAATTCTTAGATAATAATCTCTATCATAGCTCTGGATGCAAGTTCAGTATCCCTATTCTTTTATATTTTCAGATTTCTTTTAATTAAGATACAATTAACAAATTAAGTTAAATGAAGTCTCTGCTTTTATGCAAATATATTACTCATTAAAACGTGTTTTTCTTTGTAATTAGATTTTACAGTCATATTAGCTTTTAAATGTTAAGATTATTAGGATGAAAAGTAAGAATATAGTGTTGCAAAATAATAGGTTAAAAAAACCTTGAAATCTTAAAAAAAAACCTGTCATCTTTTGCTTTATGTTACGTCTAATATTTTCTGAAACACTTTGTAATATCCCCATGAAAAGTGAAGAAAGATAAACCTTATGACGTATATAAAACATTGCCAAGAAGAATAGCAGTTAAACAAATCTGTGGAAATAAATATTGACATTTTTTGACAAATGGAAGTCTTAAATTAGCATACCTAATTGAGGTTGTAAAGATGTATTAACTTTCTTCTGTGCCAGTTCAGCTTTCAGTGTTCGTAAATCTGAAACTGCTTGCTTTCTCATCTATAAAAAGAATTACCTTTCAAACATGAACTTCATCTCACCCTTCTAGAAACACATCGTCATTGTTATGTAAATAGGATTTTTGGAACTGCTTTAATTGTGTTCTCTCATCTGCCTTCAGCACCTTCATTCCCACTGGATTCCTACAGTAAATCCTGCATGCTTTATCTACTGCTAGGTATGCTGTGAGATAATTTCCTGTATTAATATATAGGGACAATATAATTGAACTATTCTAAAAACTAGAGTGAGAAATAATGTTATCTTTTGCTTAGGTTTCAAAATCTCTTGTTCTCAATGTGTAAAGAAAATGGTAATAAACATGTGCATGCAGACATTATTCACAATAGCAAAAATATGGAACCAACTGTGCTGCCCATCAAAAGTGGACTGGATTTAAAAAATGTGGCACATACACACGATGGAATATTATGCAGTCACAAAGAAGGACAAGATTATGAGTTTCACAGCAACTTGGATGGACTTGGAGTCTATCATACTGAGTGATCCATCACAGAAACAAAGAGCTGAGTCCTACATGTTCTTACTCATAAGTAGATCCTGAGCAATTATCATAATACTGTAAGGCAGAGATTGGCAGTAGTGGGAAACTGCCAGGAGGGGGGCACACTTCGTTAACAAGGGTACCTAATCTCAAACCAGGAGAAGTGGGGACCAAAGTGAGGCCCAAACTTTACCTGTACAATGACCATTTGTATACCCAACCCTGAATTGTACCCATCTTTAAAATAAAAAAATAAAATGGTAGATGGGAACAACACTGGGGCACTCCTAAAGGCAGAGGGGAGTAGGGGTGGAAACCACCCACTGGGCATCATGTCCACCATCCAGGTGGCGGGCTCTGCAGGAGCCCAAGCCTCGTCATCGTGCGACATTCCTTTGTAAAGAAGCTGCACGTGAACCCCTGAATCAACATAGAAAATAAAAAAATAAATACTTAAAAAATTAAAAAGAAAACCAAATCCCAAAATAGAAAAAAAAAATCAAAACCTTAATTCCTAGCCCTTTGGAACTGAATAGATATTTAAGAAATATAATAAATACTATTTATTCTGTGGCAAGCACTCTTCTAAGTATATTAGCCTCTTGACTTTTTTTTCAAAAAATTTACTAAGGCAGATATTATTACTTATCTCCATTTTACAGTTGAGAAAACTGAGACCCCTAGGAGCTAAGCAACCTGCTCAAGGTATTAAACGAGTTAGGGCAAGATTCAAACTCCAAGCACCTGGTGCCGGGGACCTTGCTATTTCAAGTCCTGTCTGTGGACCAGCAACATTAGTATCACCTGGGAGCTTGTTAGGCATAAACAACTCAGGTTTCACTCAGACCTAGTGAGCCAGAACCCCGCATTTTTAAACAGGATCTCCAGATGATAGAACAATAAAATTTGAGGTGTCACTTATGCGTATCTTGAATAAACATGGTTGCAACAGACTCAGGCTAGGTTTTCTCCTTAGTTCTGAATCTTACAGGTAGGGCTGTTTGAGGTCGATTATTCAGAAATCAATAAATACTTACCATAATGTCTGTTAGATGCCAATCAGACACTAAGGTTAAATAGAGGATTCTATTTCCTAGTCTGTAAGCTGAAAACTTTGTTCTCTTTTTTCTTTTTATTCTACTTGTCTTTACTGTGTTTGTGTTAATAATTCTAAGCTGAGTTCAGACCTAAAGTGATATTTACAAGGTTAAAATTTACAAAGGTGGTAAGGCTCTAACATGCATACTTTCCAGAAGAAAATTGCTGAGGCAGTCGTAGTTCAAGCTTCTGGGGGGCTTTTTCCCTTTCTACCCAACCAATTATTAAGAGCACACGTGTCCATATTGGCTTTCTCTCTATACAGAGTTTTCCTTCACTTAACAAATTATTTTTCGAGTACATACTGTATAAGAATGCTTAAAATTCTGTTAAAAATTATTCTTGGTCTTTTACTGTATTTTAAATTTTAATCTTCTCGGTGCTGATCTGGGACTTCACCTTAAGAATGCTGCTAGTGAAAAGAATCTAGAACTAAATTGTCCATATAGTAGCCAGTTGCCATATGCAGCTATTACATTTAAGTGAAGTAAAATTAGATAAAATCTAAAATTCAGTTCTTCAGTCACACAAGCTACATTTCAAGTGCTCCTTTTCTCCCATAGGTGGCTAGAGCCGACTGTATAGGACAGTGCAGGTATAGAACATTTCTATCATCACAGAAAGTTCTATGGAACAGTGCTAATTCTATAAAGGAGTCACTATTCTGTCTTAAAGTTGATAAAGAAATGAACTGAGAGCATTCATATCATTATCAGTCTTATTTTCCTGCCCAGTGTGAATACTTAAATGAAAATATATAATCCTCTCCTGTTTTCTGTTCAACAAGAGGGTTTTTAAAGACAACTGTACTTCAGAGATAATTCCTATGCTATAATTCATTGTACACAATTCTTATTAAATAAAGTAAGCCCAGAAGCTTCTACTAAATATTTACTATACAAAAGGCCCTATGGGAGAAACTAAGAACTAAGGCACTGTCTCTGCCCTGAGGGAAACTTAACGTCTAGTAGAAGACTCATGATTTATGTTTTTTTAAAACATAGACTACCTGGGAAAATAACCAGAGAAAATAAGATCATTACCCAAGAAAGAGAGAATGAATTAAATAGGAGTTCAGATGAAAGTTTGGGGTTTATCAGACGTATTTATTAATAACTCTAATACAGGAAAATTGCTTCTTGAAAAAAATTTTTTTTGTAACTCTACTGACTCACAGGGTCCTTCGTTTTCCTTTAATTCTTCTTAGTGAAATTTTACCAGATTTTACTTTGGCCTTGTTATAATGTGCATCTTTTCATAGGATTTAGTTTTTCTTCTTGAATTTTATTTTGCTCATGCTGTCTATTGTTAAGGTAACGATTTTAAGACAGTTAATCCTGACTACTCTTATATTACTGAGACTCGAAGTTAAAACACCAAAATAGTTTATTTTGAGATAGATGTTATAATAACCTGATTAGGAAAAACGTATATTACCTTGACTTCTATTATGAGTTTCATTTTGTCAGTATCCAGTTTTCTCTTAAGTTGGTCAATTGCATGCTGTACCTCAGTGATCTGGATTATAAGGTAATTCTGTGTGAAATATATAAAGATATTTATTTAGTATAACATCTATACATTTTTATTTGTGACTGCTCTGCTAATATAAATTTTGAAGATAAATATCAAAAGAGTAAATCATGAAAATAACCTGTTCCATTAAATAAACGTATTGCTTTGGAGTAAATTACTATACTTTCTGTTGATTTCTTGCATTTTAGAGACCACTTACTCTTATTTTTTTTTAACTTTTAATGTTTTTATTTTAAAGATGTGGAATACAATCCAGGGTTAGGTATACCAATGTTCATTATGCAGGTGCCTTTGTTGATGAGGTGTGCCGCCCCTTCCCCAGGCAGACTCCCACTATTGCCAATCCCGCTTCCCCGCCCCCCTCCCGGCAGTTTCCTCGCCACTGCCAATCCTTTTCTCATAGTATTATGATAGTTGCTCAGGGTCCACTTATGAGTGAGCACATGTGATACTCGGTTCTCTGTTTCTGTGAAAGATCACTCAGTATGACCACTCACTCTTCTACCGTTATTCATTTATTATTTTAAAAAATAGAGATTTGTAAAAGTTACCCCTTAAATTAACATGGCAAAAACCAACAGCTCTTACTAGGAGAGGAATAAACTAGATTTAAGATATTGGCAAGACTTTAGAAATGGGCATAATGCTTTATTAGCTGAATCAGATTAGAATTATTTTAAAATATTTATAATGAAATACTATATTTTCTATATGAAAACCTGTTCAAAATAAAAATAATGTTTGGTTTTCATCCATAAAAATATGAGTTATAGTGGTCCTCACTCAAGAAGTTATTTATGAATTTTAAACTGCTTCTCTAAATTTGTGAAAAAACTCTTTATAGCAGTAAGATCAAGTATTTATAACAATAAGTCCAGCTATGCTCAAAAAAAAAAAAACCAAACCAACTAATATGGACAAATCATTACTTCAACCTGTTTGGATTTTATATTAAATTTATCTAAAATAGTAAACTTTAAATATTTTATTCTGTCTAAACACTTAATCATAATTAATACATTTAAAAATTGTTTTTGGAAATGGGATCAATCCAACAAAAATCAATTGTTAAATGAGCTCTGGAATTTTTGTTATTTAATGATATGGTAGAATCACTCGTCGATAAACTTCATGTCTCTAAGGTTCAAGATTATCTCAAGAAAAAAAAATTTCATATAATTTCATAATTTCTATAGAATGTCTTTAAATTCGATGGATGCTATACGCCCTCCACCGCCACCAGATGTGAGTACAGTGTCCCCTGTTAGTCCCCTGCCTGACTTCATTAGGTATTCGTCTCTCGCCCATAGAGTCAGGAAATGTAACCCCTAATTAGAAGGAGCTCCTAATTAGCCTCAGCCAGCACACAGCACTCCTCGGCAACTATTTCGATCTGGGGCAGGCCTGGTTGATCCCTTCCAGGATAAAGGGAAAGATTTATCTGTTTCATGATTCTGAGAGAAGTTTCTTTCTTGTTTGGGAAACATACAGCCCTACTTGCCACTGACAACTTGATGGCTACCATTAGGGAAAAAAAAAAAAAAAATCTTACAATGAAGTGAACACTAAAAATAATAGGAAGCAAATATCTAAAGTGCCGAGCCTTCAAAGGCATCCTTAAGCTGCTGATTTTACCTCCTCAGCAACCCTCTTCCCATTACATGAGGTCATGAATTTCCTCACTGCTCAAGCAAGTTTAAGTTAGCCCAGAGCATCCTAACTATGACATTACTAGCAAAGATGTGTATGATTTTGAACAGAACTTTCCTAACAGAAGGGGGAACACATTGAGTAGTACCTTAGAGTCTGTGATGTTTGCCATATTCTTTGGTCTCATCTTGATCTCCCTGGCTTCAAGTTGCATGAGCAACTGTTTATAGTAAAGTTCCAAATCTTCTTGAAGTTTCGTTAAAACCTCCTCCAACGATGCTGTGACTTTCTTTGTTTCCAAGTATTTTTTCTTCCAACCATTGCAGGCTATTAAAAAAAAAAAAAAAAAAAGCAAAGCCTATGGTTTGAGTATGATTAAAGGATTAAACTTTCAAACTGGAAAGGACCCCAGAGTTAATGTTAATATAAACCATTTTCCTCTCTTCTCCCTTCCTTATACACTGAAGACATCAGAGCAAAGGGAGAAATATTCATTGGATAATAAAAAAGCTCTCCTAGAAATATAGTAAAATAGTGATGAATCCAGGAACCACAACCAAGTTCTCCCTTAAACATGTCATTGCTTCAGAAAAATCTTTTAAAAAAATAATACTACCGGTACATATTTATACATATATACTTATTTTGATTACTTTTTTCCTCAATTATGGAAAAGCAAATTAATTCATGTATTCATTTCCATAATCTTATTTAAAATCATTATTTATATAATTAAAACTATGAAAGTAGAAGACATGATATAGTTGAGAGATTTTTTCCTTGTTTTTTCAGCTCTCATAATGACTTAGGTTCTGTGAAATCAGCTGATTCTGATTCATCATTTATTAAAATTATTCCAAATATCTCTCCCAAATTCTGTAAAGTACAGTTTCTCAAACCTGAGACCCTTGAGAAAATTGGAAATTAAATGCTAACATTTTAGGAAATCACTTTGACACCAGTAAGATTCTAAATACAAACTTACCAGGAACACAAACTGTTTGCTAGTATACCAGAATTTGCTTATGTTTATTTCATTTAGATTATCATAGAAATGAAAACTCCAAATTAAAAAAAATCTACATAATAAGATAATTTGATTGAAATTGTATAGCAATATGGAAATTTAGCTCAAGATTTTAGCTACTTATCTCCCTCAGGCCCTGTCATCCAATCCCTTAGCAACTTCTACTGGCACTACTGACAAAATACTTCTGGCACCTTCCACCCTCTCCGGTGCCACATCCCTGGAGCATCATCTTTTATCAGGAAAGTTGCAATATCATCCTGTCTCTCTGCTTCCTTCTTGCCCCTCTACACGCTATTCCATACAGCAGTCATTCTGATCCTTCTAAAATATTTTTTATGTAAATCCCTAGTTAAAATCCTCCAAGGGCTTCCCACCTGACTTAGAATAAAATCCAAGCTCCTTGACTTGGCCTGTCTGCTCCTTGCAGATCTTTCTGATTTTATCTCCCTCTATGTGCCTATTTATCATGCTCTAGCAACACTGGCCTTATTTCAGGTCCTTAATATGGCAGGATCATTCTTATCTCCACACCTTGATACTACGCGTTCTTGTTCAGACTGCTTTCTCTCTATCTCTATATGCCTGCCTCCTTATTAATCAAATCTTAATGGTATCTCCTCAGAGATGCTTCCCCTGAAAACCCTAGCTAAAGCATCTGTTCCTTGCTCTATCACTCCGTACTATACACTTTTTAATTGATTCCTCAGCTCTGATCAGTAGCTGACATTGTCTTACTTATTCGATTATTGTCTTTCTCTTTCTAATGGGAAGCGAGCTCCTTAAGGGCAGAGCCATATCTGTCTTGTTCACTGCTGAATCCTGGCATTGCAAAAAATAAATATTCGATGGCTGATACATACCTTTTATCTTGAAATATTCCTGTTGAAATAGAAAGTGATTAATCATTCTCACTTCATAAACAGAAAGAGTGAGGCTCAAGAAAGGGAAATAACTTGCCTAAGTAAAAGATGGATCTGGTATTAGAATCCAGGGCCTGTGACTTCTAGTCCACTGTTTGACTCTGCCTGATAAAATCACTCTTTTAACACTACAAGGTTGAGTCACTGTCACCACTTCCAGAATAACACATTAATATTACGAGGCAGAGTCTTTAGAAATATCTCCTGACACTGTCTATAACCTTCAGTTAGTTCTAGTGATGAAAAAACAATATGCTGTAAACTGGAAATCTTAAAACCAGTTAATTCTATATATAACTTTTATCCTTATAATACTCAACACAGCCCCAAATGCAGGCCTCTCAAATCATTCAACACCTCTCAAATCATCAGCATATACTTTTTTCATCCTGGCCCATCGTTCTATTTTCACCAGTCCTAACAACACTGTTTCTAATTCTATTGCAAGAAAATGACTGACTGCCGGGCTCGGTGGCTCAGCCTGTAATCCCGCGCTTTGGGAGGCTGAGGTGAGTGGATTGCCTGAGCCCACAGGTTCAAGACCCGCCTGGGCAACTTGGCGAGACCTCATCTCATGACTGACTTCTCTTAACTTCCCTCATTCATTCACTTAAGCTAGGCAAACAGACATAAATACCCCCCAAATTAAGTAACTAGGGGAGTCCAAGGGACTCAAGGCAGGCTTCTACAGCAAGTGCTATCTAAGGTAATCTTAAATGGTTAGTAGGAACTAGCTCTGAGAACTGGGAAAAGGAGAATGGGAGGAGAAGGGGGGAAGAGAAGGGATCATATGCCTGAAGACCCAGACTCCAGTGCCAAGCAGAAGCTCACTCAGGTGCTAGCCTATCCAAAACTTCTCCTGGAAGCCTCTCTCCATCTCGCTCATCTAGTTGAGGTGTTCTTCCTTCGTATTCCTAGCCATAGAATTCTGTCATTCCTTCCTCACAGCATTTATTAGGATGTGTCATTAAATCTTAACTTGACTATCATTTCCCCACTGATCTGTAGGGACAGCGGCCAGACTGTGTCTTCCCAATAGTGTCTCCTCAGCCTTGAGAGCAGTGGCAGGATTCAACAGGCCCTTGATAAATACTTATTTAATAAATGAATGGAGGAATGAATAAACAAATAAATGAACTTCAGTTGCAAAATATTTGAGTTTTAATTTTTAAAAAAACTCTATGTAAAGCATGTATGGTGTAAAATAGAGGTGAATAATGATTTCATGTCTTCTCTGTTGAATTTACCTCATTCATGTAACAAACTGTAACAGTAAAACAGTAAATATAACTATAATTTTATTATTTGCTCCAAAAATATCAACTCTGTAAAACTGAAGTTTTCTCTATGGTAATAAAAGGTATGTAATAAACTTTACCATAATATTGCTTCAATTTGCTTTGTTCAAATAGCTTATCAGCTTTTTTAATTAGTTCTTCTCTAATTCTTTCCAGATATCTTCTTTCTTCCTTTACATGTTTCATTTGTTCAATAATCTTCTCTCCTAAAGAGATCATAATCCATACTCATCAATGTCTAAAAGCTGAAAGATGGCTCATATGGTAAAATAGGGAGTATAAAACTTAAAAGTGTCTCAAACAGCAAGAATAAATTTTACTCCAAACATTTTTTTCCTTGCTGTAGTATAGCTTTTACATCTATGTGGAGGAGTCATTTCAGTTTCCAAGGGTGATACATAAGAGGATTTATAATAGTGTGTCCTAGCCAGGCTCAGTGGCTCAGCCTGTAATCCCACACCTTGAGAGGCTGAGGTGAGTGGATTGCCTGAGCCCGCGGGTTCGAGACCCGCCTGGGCAACTTGGTGAGACCTCATCTCCACAATAAATCAAAAATTAGCCGGGTGTGGTAGCGTGCGCCTATAGTTCCAGCTATGGAAGGCTGAGGCGGAAGGATCGCTGGAGCCCAGCAGGTCAAGACTGCGGTGGCTAGGAGTGGCACTGCACTCCAGTCTGGGCGACAGAGTGAGACTCCAACTCAAAAAAAAAAAAAAAATAGTGTCTTTTCTGCATTTATATAAATGTGTAGAAAACTAGGCAAAGCCTAAGTAGTTATGCTTATATCTTTTGGTATAGTTCTTTTGGTAAATTTATCTTAGACCCGAAGTTATTATACTTAAATCTTACATGGAAAAATGTACATTTTAGAGTATACTTTTTTAAATGAAACAGTATTAGTGACTAAACATATATCATAATCAACATCAAATTTATATAATTTAACTTTTTATTATAGCAAAATATGCACAACAAAATTTGCCATTTTAAGCTCCTTTAGGCATTAAGTACACTTACACTATTGTGCAACTATCATCATCCACCTCCAGAACCTTTTTAATCTTCCTAAACTGAAACTCAGTATCCATTAAGCAATAAATACCCATTGACATTATTTAACTGTAGCTCACAGTCATCTGTACTTATGATGTCACCATACTTACTTTCAATCTGTAGTAAAGAGCTATCAATTGTTCCTGAAGGAAGAACAGGTTGACAAGGAGGTGAATGAAAATCACTAAGACCCGGTAGGGTGATGTACTCTTTTTTACCTGTCTGGAAGGACACATGAAAATCAGTAAGATTGGATAGGGTGCCACATTCTTTTTCACTTGCCAGTAAGCATGTAATAATGCACGCCAGCAATGTCGCTTTTTGTTTTGTTTTACTTATATGCCGATAAACTCCCAATTCTGTACTTACAGCTATAGATTCTCTCTTGTGCTCCAGTCTCTCATTGTACTTTTTTTCTTTCTTTTTTTTTTTTTTTTTTTGAGTTGGAGTCTCACTCTGTCACCCAGGCTGGAGTGCAGTGGCACACACATGGCCACTGCAACCTCAACCTGCTGGGCTCAGGTGATCCTTCCGCCTCAGCCGTCCAAGTAGCTGGAACTACAGGCACGTGCCACCACACCCAGCTAATTTTTTTTTTTTAATTGTAGAGACGAGGTCTTGCCATGTTGCCTAGGCTGGTCTCGAACCCCTGGGCTCAGGCAATTCTCTCACCTCGGCCTCCCAAAGTGCTGGGATTACAGGCTTGAGCCATCGCGCCCAGCTTTTCTTTTCTTTCTTTTCTTTTCTTTTTTTTTTTTTTAAACAGAGACAAGGTCTCTTTCACTCTGTCACCTAGGCTGAGTGCAATGACACAATCTTTTCTCACTGTAACCTCACAATCCTGGCCTCAATTGATCCTCCTGCCTCAGCCTCCCAAAGCACTAGGATTATAGGCATGGGTCACTGCACCCAGCTTTCCATTCCACTATTACTTAGACATTATATACAAGCACTTTAAATATAAAATTTTTAAAAAGATTCTATTATTTTTCTTTCTAAACATGATTTCCTTCCAAGATCTCTGGTATCAGTTACTTGTTATGATAACTTTACAATTTTTCTAAGATGGCTATTAGTTGTTTTCATATGAGTCAATTTTGATCATTTGCATTTGCTTAGAAAATTGATTCTGTCATATTTTAACATGTGAGTATGGAATTTTATTCTAATGTATGTTATCTCCTCTGTGCTTGTGTTTTTGTTGCTTTCATCTTTTTCTAATTTTTGTGTTTCTACCCTTTTTTGATAAATTACTTCAAGCTGTACCAGGTTTCAATCATTACCACTTTAATTCTGCTAGCTTTTTTTTTTTTTACTTCTGTAACTCATTAGTTTTTACTTTTGTCTTCATCAAGCTCTTACTCCTATTTTATCTGTTTGATTTATAATTGTCCCCCCTTGTCTGGGGTTTTTCTTTCCAAGCTTTCAGTTACCCATAGCACAGTACAGTATAAGATATTCTGAGAGAAAGACAAATCGAAAGAGGGGGCACATTTACATTCACGTAGCTTTTATTAAAGTACATTGTTTAGCTGTTCTATTTTGTTATTAGTTATTGCTGTTATTGTTGTGCCTAATTGATAAATTACACTTTTTCATAGGTAGGTATGCATAGGAAAAAACATAGTATATATATGTACAGGGTTCAGTACTATCTGTATACCCAAGCATCCACTGGGTGTCTTGGAATGTAACCCCCATGGAGAAAGGGGGGACAGCTATACTATTATTTTTCTAGTGTATTTTATTCTGTAACGTTACAGAATTGAGTTCCCACAGGATAATGGCAACCACTTAAATTAGAGCTGCTCCACAAATCCTCTAAACTGCCATAAAAAGAAGGCAAATAAAATCACCCATAATTTATGCCCACAACATAACTAGGACACAGAATCCTTTAATTTACATGTAAGTGGGGAAATCAAGACCCTAGACCAGAGTGTGGTCAGGAGCCCACATCAGAGCGGAGTCAGATGCGGACTATGTGTCGGCACCATACATGGCTGACATAGGAAACATCAGTCATGGGCTAGCCTCGAAGGAGAGGGCCCTGCTTGAAGTGGAGGAACACTGAGAGAGCCAGGAAAAACACTAGTAGACCAGAGCACTTTCTATGAAGAATCCAAAAGAAAGGACTTGGAAAAACAGTAGGGAGCCAGAGACGGTCATCATGGGAAGACACGCCTTCTGGGGGAGAGGAAAACGCTGTGGAACGGAGATGTATCCCTTAGGGGCTAGTTTGGTAAGAGAAAAGAAGAAAATGGTCACGATAAGAGCTCCACTGAATTAAGTTAGTGGAAAAGCATCGCCCCCAAAACATCCTTTTCCTCCAAAGGCTCCATCAATTTAAAAAGAGAAAAATAACTGCATTTCAATACAGCAACAGAAGAGGGAGCTCCTGATTTAAGAACGAGTGAGCCACCTAATGCTACTTCCCGTCGTCTGCAAGAACAGAAAAATTCAATACAAATAAACGTGAACATCTGCAAAATAATCTAGCATCCACACAGTTACTGAAGAAGACAACTTCAAAACTGAGAGCTAAAATCAAAACAAAACCAGCAGAGAAACACTTAACAATATTCCCAACATAGCCTAATTTGCATATATTAATGAATACCATCAAGCAGAAAATTTAAAACTCAGAATAAAAATGAAAAAAACCAACAGGGAGATTTGAAATGAAGTTTGGACAGACTCAAGAAAGAAAGTAAGAAAGAAACCAAAATTTTCTCAGAAACAAATAAATTAGCAAGTGTCCAAGAGGGAACAGAAAATGACCAAAAATATAGTAAGGTTACCAGGGAATAGAAATAAAAGGAACCAAGAAAATGAAACATAAAGAAAATAGTAAAATAGATCAGAAAGAAAGTGGCAGATATGTAGGTTAAGAAGATCTAAGACAAGACTAATTGTGTTCCTTGGAAGAGAAAAACAAAACAATGGAACAGATCTATTTAAAATTATAATTTTAGAAAGAAGACTTGAAATCTTAAAATAAAATAATTCCTTGTTTTCCTACTGAATGGGTCCACTGGTACCTAGAAAAACCTGACCTACAGTTCTCAACTGAGATATGGCCTGGTAAAACCATTACACATTATAGGAACTCCCTGACCCTCAAGGCAAAAATACCCAAGTCCGTTTACAAAGAAAAGAAAATCAGATTGACATCACAATTCTAAATGGTAACAAATAAAGCAAGAAATCAGTAGAGCAACATTTTAAAGAAACTCAAGGGAAATAAGCCTAAGATTTTATAGCCAATCAAGCTTATCTTTCAAGTACCAAGACTCTAGGGCAGTCATTAGCAAACTTTCTCGGTAGAGGGCCAGAGAGTAAGTAAACATGTGTGGGCCACATATAGTCTCTGATATATATTCTTCTTTTTTTCTGTTTTTACAGCTCTTTAAAAATGCAGAGAATATTCTCAGCTCACAGGCCTTACTCAACAGGCCACACCCCTTTTTGGCCATCCTTGCTCTAGAGAAAGTTCTAAATGTGCAAGGATGAAGGGACTGTCTTACTCAGGAGCTTTTTCTACTATACATTGAGCTTTATCCCACCAAGAAATAATTGAAAAATGTGCTGCAAAAGAATTGACAGTGAAGTGTTGACCATATTTAATTTTAGATCTGAGACCAAAAGGTGAGGGGATAAGACTAGACAAATAGTACAAAACTCCTATACTCTTTAACCACAAAGTAGAAATAATACAACTAAAAATAAAAGAAGAAAATAGAAGGGAAAAGGTGAAAGAAGAGAACGTTTTCTGATGCCCCACATATGACCGGTATGAGTCAGAGCATAATTTTAGAAGTAACAATTAAAAAGCAGAAGCATACACTAAAAAAAAAAAGAAAGAAAGAAAAGTGAAGGAACAGGAGTATTGGCATAAGTCTATCACTATGAAGGCAAACATTTGAACAAAAATACAAATCTTCCCAAATGCTGGAGGGGTGGGGAAGAGGCAAACAAATCTCACAGTAAAAGACACACAGAAACTGTGCCATAAAAGAAAACGTCAAATCTGAGACTAAATGTGTCAATCATATCAATTATGTAAATAGAAATGACTCATTTACTAAATTAAAAAGATTTTCAGACCAGCTCACAAAGCAAAACCCAACTCTGGGCTGTACATAAGAGATATTTCTTGTTAGGGTACGGACGGACCGGGTGAGGGCGGAGAGGCACAGGGAGGCATGCAGCACTGCCGGGACTGGAAAGCTGGAGGTGCATGCCGGCAACCCAGAGATCAAGTAGATGCAAAGAACTGCGACACACAGAGGTGAGAGAAGAAAAGATTTCTTGAAGAAAAGTTCAGCCCCCACAGACAGGGAGTGGGCCTACACTCCAGGTGAGTGTGGCCTTGTAGCCCCCCAGAATCCTGGCTCAAATCCTTTTCTTGGAGATGTTGCATGTGACTTCTGTGACTTCCTTCTCGACCATCTGTGGATGTCTTGGAGAACCTGTGACACAGAGACCCATTAATGTCCACCCACATTATCATAGCCCCTAGAGAAGGGCGTGACAAGGATTCTAATGCTCCTGCACCTTCCCAAACGACATTCCTTAGAGCTAGTGGAGGGTGCACCTCTCCTTATCTCCTCGGCATTCCCAGTGGGTAGCTTCGGGGGATCCTTGGCCTCCCTGCAGATAGTGCCCAATTTATTGGAAGATCAAATCCCCACCTGCTCTCCCTCTGAGTGGTCATAACTTTTGTAATGACAAGTTTCATGACTTTTACAGTCCTTGCCCAATGCATGATGTCTTAGGCCTTGCAAATTCCCTTTACTCTAGGCAAGCTTGATTGACGCTATGAGATACCTGGCAGCAGGAAGTCTGTTGCTAAAAAGACAATGTCGGCAAAGTTAATTTTTACTTAAAGTGTGCATTCTTCCAAAAGCATAGCTACTTTCTCATCATTGTATTAAGATTTAGGAAGAAGAGTAAAAAATGCATTTCCTGCTCTCGGCCTGTCCTTCCATCTCAAAACAAAGTGATTCAGAAAGGCTGAATAAAAGGAGAATAGGAAGAACAAGGGCTAACAAGTCCAAACGAAAAGAAAGCAGCATATCTTGACACGTGATATCCAGGCAACTTGGCGAGACCTCGTCTCTACAATAAATAAAAAATCAGCCGGGCGTGGTAGTGCACGCCTGTAGTTCCGGTTACTCGGAAGGCTGAGGCGGAAGGATCGCCAGAGCCCAGCAGGTCGA